GTCATAATTAAACCCAATCAGATTATGACCATGAGAAACGTGACTGTTGGAGCTTCTTGGTGTTTGTGCTGTGGGTTAAGTCGATCTGATTATCGAAGGAGGTGGGTTTTGGTCCCCCCCCTCCCTCTTCCCCCTCCCCCTCGCCGTGGGTTTAATACCGGGTTTATCTGAGGTCTGGTTTAATGGTGTCGATATTGAGTCTTGGTTTAAGTTCCTTCTGTGTACTGAATTTGATCGGACGAACACACACACGGACGACACACACACACACACACACACACACACACACACACAGACACACACACAGATACACATAGACACGGATACTCAATATGATACATACACACAAAATACAGACACGAGCAGGTTACACACACACACACACACACAACTCGGGCCATTTATCAGGTCACTCTAGTTGAGTTACTCCTTCATCCTCGACCGTCACCCTGAGGAGGACCTTGACTTAGGGAACCTCTCTCTCTCACATAACGGAGGAACCAGTTTCTTAGCCTCTCTACGTGTTCACTTAGCCACACACATATTATACAGTCAACTTTTATCATATAACGGTGTGTGTGTGTGTGTGTATGTGTGTGTGTGTGTGTGTGTGCGTGTGCGTGTGTGTGTGTGTGGGCTTTGTATAACATTGAGTATATCAGAGTATAATGAACTTTGATGTTTCCTAACCGTTTGAGATTAATATTACGACATATTCTTGGAGGAGAGGGGAGAGAGTATACTGGTATATACTGACCACTAAACTTGTTATATTAATTAGATCACCTGACTGAACATATTAACATACCTGTGTCTCTTATATCATGTCCGCTGGGGTATATTTTTGGTGGGATAAATTTGAGAGTATGCTTGAGTATACTGAGCTTCGGTTAGTTCATTAGTGGGTTAGGTTGGGTTGGGTTGGTTAGGTTAGGTTGGGTTGGGTTAGGTTAAGTTGGTTGGTTAGGTTGGGCTGGGTTGGGTTGGGTTGGGTTGGGTTGGGTTAAGTTGGAGGTTGGGTTGGGTTGGGTTGGGTTAGGTTAGGTTAGGTTAGGCTGGGTTGGGTTGGGTTGGGTTGGGTTGGGCTGGGTTAGGTTAGGTTGGGTTAGGTTGGGTTGGGCTGGGTTGGGTTGGGTTGGGTTGGGTTGGGTTGGAGGTTAGGTTAGGTTAGGTTGGGTTAGGTTGGGTTTAGTGAACACCAACCGTTATGGCTTCATTGTTTACAAGGAGCCGGGGTGATATCGACAGGCCTTCCCAAATTGCGCCATGGCCCACCTCTTCCCGCCCCACCTCCTCTTAACCCACCCCCTTGCCTCAAGCCTATTCCATTACATACTCTTAAATCCATATTCCTTACATACTCAGCTGGTGTTAACTATTGTGGTTGTGGTGTATTTCTATGGTGTTTTAGGTGGTGTGTGTGTGTGTGTGGTGGTGATGTGTGGTATGTGCTGTGGTGCTGGAAGTGGTATCGTTTGGTAGTGATGGTGGTAGCATGTGATGTGAGATGGTGATGTGTGGTAGCGTGTGGTGATGTGGTGGCGTGTGGTGGTGTGGTGGCGTGTGTGGTGATGTGTGGTAGCGTGTGTGTATGGTGATGTGGTGGTGTGGTAGTGATGGTGGTGGCGGTGGTGATGGTAGCGTGTGGTAGCGTGTGGTGTGTGATGTGGTGGTAGCGTGTGGTGATGTGGTTGATGTGGTGGTATGTGGTAGCGTGTGGTGATGTGGTGGCGTGTGGAGGAGACGTGGCAGCTGTGTTGGTACAAGTGTTTCCCTTGGCGTGGGGGCCCATCTGTGAGTGTGGTAACCCGGTGTTGTAGATTTTGGTGATGACAAACTGTTTCACTTAGTCGTGTGTATTATTATCACACACACACATATATATAGCATAATGACACATACAATACCAGATCTTGCTCAAACTGAAACAGCAACAACAATAATAACAAGTCTAAAGCTGGGAATACCTTTAACAGTGTCTGCCAGACTCTCTCTCTCTCTCTCTCTCTCTCTCTCTCTCTCTCTCTCTCTCTCTCTCTCTCTCTAGATGAACTTTTAAGAACAATATTTCACTTTATTCTATCTTCCTCTTCGTGTGATAGATAGATAGATAGATAGATAGATAGGTATAAATAGATAGATAGTTTATATATAAGGTATTAATGAGCTCCGTGAAGGTTGTATGTTCTGGTGTGTTGTGTGTGTGTGTGTGTGTGTGTGTGTGTGTGTGTGTGTGTGTGTGTGTGTGTGTGTGTGTGTGTGTGTGTGTGTGTGTGTGTGTGTGTGTGTGTGTGTGTCCTCTCATCTCCCCCAACCGTGTCCACGTTATCAGCTGGGAGAATATACATAGGAGGTATACCAGCTAAGGGGCCACACACCAGCTAGGGCCACACACCAGTGAGCCACACACCAGCTAAGGAGCCACACACCAGCTAGGGCCACATACCAGCAAGGGGCCACACACCAGCTGGGCCACACCCAGCTAAGGGCCACACACCAGCTAGGGCCACACACCAGCTAGGGGCCACACACACCAAGGGGCCACACACCCCTAAGGGGCACACACCAGCTAAGGGCCACACACACCAGCTAGGGCCACACACCAGCTAAGGGGCCACACACACCAGCTAAGGGGCCACACACCAGCTAGGGGCCACACACCAGCTAGGGGCCACACACCAGCTAAGGGCCACACACCAGCAGGGGCCACACACCAGCTAAGGGCCACACACACCAACTAGGGGCCACACCAACAGGCCACACAAAACAAAGCCACACACCAACTATGGCCACATACCAAATAAGGGGGCCACACGGAACCAAAAACTAAAGGGCTACACTGAGCCATGAACTAAGGGGCCACACATCAACTTAGGAGCCACATACTTAGGGGCCACACAGAGCCATGAAATAGGAAGGAGAGTGCCAAAAGTTGCAGCGGTGGTGATATTTATGCGTGCCACGTCAGTACCCCCCAGGAGCGTGGTGACAGTGCCAACCAGCAGTGCCAAGATGAACAGTGCCAGATCTTCTCTCTCTCTCTCTCTCTCTCTCTCTCTCTCTCTCTCTCTCTCTCTAACACCCCCCCCCCTTACGTAGAAAATGGAAGGAGGGAAGAGATTGATAAAGAAGGAGTGAGAGAAGGGTGTGTAGCAAAGATGTAGTCATGGAGGTGTACAGGTGGGAAGGTTAGGTAATTATGGTGGGAGGAGAGGACAGGTAGGTGTGTGTGTGTGTGTGTGTGGATGATGAACATAAAATCATTCCTTTATAGCCACTGTCCCCACTCTCCTCCCCCCCCCCCCCCCCCCTCTCTCTCGCTTCTACCATTTCAAAAGTTCATTAATTTCATTTATGGAGACAAACTAACTATAATTAAGTTGAAATAATAAAAACAATTTTTTTTGTTATCGTCAAAGGAGATTAAAACAAAGTCGCCATTTGTCAACAGTCGTAAATTACAAACAGCCTCGTTACACTTCTCAGATCGTTAACAATTGAATAAAAATAGTAACTACTTTTTTGTGCTTGTTAGTGTAATAGGTAGTTAGGAATCACACTTAGAGGGGGGGCGGGGGGAGTTATCACCTGTTTGGAAATACTAAACAATAAATAAGGTCAGGTAAGGTTAATTTTTTTCTACCTGAGACAAGATACGTTTGGTAATAATATTAATTCTTCAATACTTAAGGTGGGAGAGGGAGGTGGTGGTTGCCCCTCGTGTAAGGAGGATGGCCGGCCCAAGGGCCTCCTAGGCGTGAATTTGTTTAAGGTGTAGAAGCTGTCGCCAACACAACAACCCACCCTGGCATACCCAGTGTTTAATAACTGTCCCACCACCTGAGTTAACAGCTGCATGACCCAGTGTTTAAGGTGTAAAGCTGTCCCAACACAACAACCACACCCTGAGTTAACGAGCTGCATGACCCAGTGTTTAGGTGTGAAGCTGTCGCCAACAACAACCACACCCTGAGTTAACGAGCTGCATGACCCAGTGTTTAAGGTGTAGAAGCTGTCACAACACACCCTGAGTTAACGAGCTGCATGACCCAGTGTTTAAGGTGTAGAAGCTGTCGCCAACACACAACCACACCATGAGTTAACGAGCTGCATGACCCAGTGTTTAAGGTGTAAGCTGTCGCCAACACAACAACCACACCCTGAGTTAACGAGCTGCATGACCCAGTGTCAAGGAATAGTCCCAGAAGACCGGACAACTCGCCAACTGCACTGGCTAACCATTACCCCGGAACACGATCCACACATCCATTAACATCCAGGTCCCCAATTACTGCTGGGTAGACAGAGGCAAATGGCGTAAAGAAACTTGCCCGGGGATCGAACCCGGGTCCACTCACTTGTGAGGCGAGGATGCTGACCATTACACCACAGGTATATCTTGCAACACCTCTGTAACAAACCTTTACAGTAATAGAATTCGTGATACAACATTTCTCAATATTGGCAAAGTTGTGTAGGAGGGAGGGAGGGATTCGTTGTTCATCCTCCCTCCCCTCCTCCCCCTCAAAAAACAACAACAGTAGGTCAATCATAGAAAACGGACGGGAGGAGCAGGTAGGGGGTAGGACTATACCATTACATTACGAAGGCCATTAATCTTAAGAAAACCCCTATATAAACTAAACCATTGATGTGTATAATTAAACTCAAACTACCATTACTACTCTAACTATCATTAGCATCATCCTAATCATTAGACTAGTCGAAATAAAAGGAAATTATACAGAAAATAGCAGTTTAATGTTCGTGTGTATTGTAACAGCCTTATAGTTAATTTGTAATTGTGCAATAAGTAATCGGTCGTGTGTGTGGTGTGTGTGTGTGTGTGTGTGTGTAGGTACTGTCAGGTATGTATGTATGTATTAAGCAGTTTAAAAATGGTATCTTAGTATACATCATGATTCATGGTACTGTCCCTATCACTGGTACTGTCTCTTATCATCTTGAGGTACTTGCCGGTACTGTCTTATTGTACTTACTCAGTTACGTAAGAAGGTTGTTGTGGATTATGGAACACAGTCATTACCTGAAACAAGGGAGGAAAATAATTAATTGGTTGTCAAAGGTAAAATTATTTATATTTATTATTATTATTATTTCTTCTTCTTCCATACCTTGAATAACATATTGGTCTCCTCCTTCCTCCATTCCTCTCTCTCTCTCTCTCTCTCTCTCTCTCTCCTACTGGGTGGAACTGTGGCACCCTCTCTACTGGGTGGCACTGTGGCACCTACTGTGGCACCCTCTCTCTACTGGGTGGCACTGTGGCACCCTCTCTCTACTATGGTGGCACTGTGGCACCCTCTCTCTACTGGGTGGCACTGTGGCACCCTCTCTCCTACTGGGTGGCACCTGGTCCACTGCTCAGTAAGGGACCTTGGGAGACAGGTGGCAAAACCGTCTTGAGTTGGCCAAGTGGGTCAAAGGACGGTGGTGGTACTGTCTCTCTGTCTCTATCTGTTTACCTGTCTATATCTTTTCATCTGTCTCTTTATCTGTCTGCCTATATCTCATTCTGTCTATCTGTCTACCTTTTTGTCTATCTCTCTCTATCTGTCTACCTTCCTGTCTATCTCCTGTCTCTATCCGTTTATCTGTCTCAGTGTCTCTCAAGAGCTTCCCACCCTGTGAACATTTCCCTCGACAAGCTGAGAACACTCCAGTCTTCTCACCCACAGATGTATCTTGAGAGGTGTGAGAGTGGGGGTGTGTGAGTGGGGGGTGTGTGAGTGGGGGTGTGGTGGTGTGAGAGTGGGGGCGTGAGGGTGTGAGAGTGGGGGTGTGGTGGTGTGTGAGAGTGGGGGTGTGAGTGGTGTGTGAGAGTGGGGGTGTGTGTGAGTGGGGTGTGTGAGTGGTGGGGGTGTGTGAGTGGTGTGAGGTGTGAGAGTGGGGGTGTGTGAGTGGTGTGTGAGAGTGGTGTGAGAGGTGTGAGAGTGGGGGGTGTGAGTGGTGTGTAGGTGGTGTGTGAGAATGGGGGGTGTGTGGGGTGTGTAGTGGGGGTGTGTGAGCGGTGGGGGTGTGTGAGTGGTGTGAGGTGTGAGGGGTGGGGGTGTGAGTGGTGTGTGAGAGTGGTGTGAGGGAGGGGTGGTGGTGGTGTGTGAGTGGGGGTGTGTGAGTGGGGTGTGTGGGGGTGTGTGAGTGGGGGGTGTGTGGTGGTGTGGAGGTGTGAGAGTGGGGTGTGAGTGGTGTGTGGTAGTTGTGAGTGGGGTGTGTGAGAGTGGTGTGTGTGTGTGGGGGTGTGTGAGGTGTGTGGTGGGGGTGTGTGTGTGAGTGGTGGTGCGTGGAGTGTGAGGTGTGTGAGTGGGGGGTGTGACTGGTGTGTGTGGGGGTGAGATGGTGTGAGAGGCGTGAGAGGAGATAATTGAAATGAAAAAGTGGCCTTCAATGTAGGTATTTTGTCCCTCCCGTCCCTTATCATCCCTCCCCAGTCCCCCCTCGTCTCTAAATATACTAAGGTCGACCTCTAATACCAAAAATAAAGCCCTTGGTTATTCAGGCATCACCAAGGAGATCCTCAGCCACATAAACTACCCGGCCATGGACAGACTGAGAACCACAATGAACGCTTGCCTGGCCTCGGGTTACTTCCCAACTAGATTCAAAGAGGCCATTATTACCCTAACACCAAAACAAGGAAAGAACCCCGCCGTCCCACTAAACTACAGACCGATCTCCCTCCTCGAGGTACCTGGAAAATACTAGAAAAATCATCAACAACCGTCTGAGAAATCACCTGGAAACAACAGCGGTCAACTGCAGACAATTCGGGTTCAGGAAGGGAAGTCACCACAACAGCGATAGCGCATGTGAAAACATAGCCAGAGCCGCGGCAGTGGTAGACAATGTAATCTAACTCTCCGGGATGTAGCGAAGGCATTTGACAACGTCTGGCACGACGGTCTAAAATATGAGATCCTCCAACTCGGACCTCCCACCAACATTGAAAAGCTGCGCAACTTTCTTGACGGCAGAAATGCCAGACTGAGGTAGGACAACACACAGGAGAGACCTTCCCACTCGCAGGCAGAGTCCTCAGGCGTCCTCTCCCCACCCTATATATTATCTACACAAGTGACACCTCCCCCACTAGAATAGGTAACGAATATTATGTATGCAGACGACATCACTCCAAATAACAACACATCAAGGAAAATCACGAGCGTTACAGGCCGACAACACCAGGCAGGGTTAAAAGGGTAAATAATTACGAAAACAATGGAAAATCCAAACCACTCCCGAAATTTACAGTGATACCCTTATACAGAAGAAAACCCATCCATTAGTAACCAATAATGCCCAGATAGAAATACAAAAGCAGAGGCACCCTCCTGGGCCTGCATATATCCACGAGAGTTACTCCCATCATGTTCACCAGGAAGGAAAAGGCAAGATGAGAGCTGAGAAAACTATACCGCTTTTAAAGCGCTTCCAGAAAAATAAAACTCCGCCTGGTGACATCATTTATCACACCGATATTAACTTACCCAGCAATACCTCTTCATACTATGAGCACTACTCAAATATTAAAATTACAGGTGATTCAAAATGAAGTCCTAAGATTCGTCACAGGCGAAGATACCCTTCACCAGAACCACAGCCGAGATACATAGAGACCTGAGAATAAAACCCATCACCAGCAGCTGCACCCTGCAGCAGAATCTGGCAAAAGATAGAACGATCAGAGCAAGAACTCCTTCAAAGACCTTCACCAGATAACGACAACAACCATACATGGTTCCCAAAAAGTTACCAAATCTCAAAAGGTCCATTACCACCCCGATCACGGCCAGGCAATAGACAACCTCCTAGACCAGCATCCGCCAGTAGGGTCGGCTGAATATGAAATAAGGCCCTCAAAACACCCATGTATGGGATAGGGTAGGCTGTCTAGTGCCTGTACCGGCAGACAATAACTAACCCATGACACAACCCTAACACACTATTAGCTTAGCTAGGCGGTTAGCCCGCCCTCTCTTACCTCCTCCTGAATTTCTTCAATTTCTGAACTATAACTTCCTTCCCCCACCTCTAATCTTCTTTCACCCTCCTTTCTCTACAAAAAAAGGTCGACTTGGGTCACTGTTGACACAGTCGTATTATTATTAGTAGTAGTAGAATGGGGATTGACTTTATAATTGGTTTGTTTTATAGTGTGTGTGTGTGTGTGTGTGTGTGTGTGTGTGTGTGTGTGTGTGTGTGTGTGTGTGTGTGTGTGTGTGTCACTCGTAGAATGCCTCGCCGTCATCGATTTCTTAAACGTACACATTGATTTATGATAAGAATAGAACCGACATAGTGAATAATGTAACCTGTAGTTCTCCAACACCCATTCAGTCATTCTTTAAATAAAACAACATTCATCCACTTAAATAAACAAACATTCATCATTCATCCACTTAAATAAACAAACATTCATATATAAAACTAATGGAATGTTCCCCCCGTTCTCAGATCGTGAGTAACCTTCCTCATCGTTCACTCTTGAAACATTCACGACACGAGAGGAATGTTCCAAGGTCACTGTATTGGGGTTTTAGAAGGCCGGGAATCTAGACTGGAATATTCCATCACCTGAGTGGGAATGTTAGACTGACGCACCTGTAAACATTCCACTTAATTAGCCCTCCAGGTGGTATGAATCACCTGGTAGTGGTTCAGTTGTTTTGTGAAATTATTATAGTTATTGGGATTTAGGGATTACCTGAAAGTTGACCCCCTCCTAACAGGTTATTAATTACCTTGATTTTTTAACAATATAACCTAATACAGTAATTTTTTTTACAATTAAAAAAAACACATAAAAAACAGTGACAAACAATCAGACGCAAATACAGTGAAGAGTGAGAGAGAAAACACATTAGCTCCAACAGTGCCTAGGAGAGTTGCCAGTGTGAGTTATCTCTACGGTATCATTTCATTCTCGTATCAGATAAGAAAACCCTCGGACCTTATCATAAACAACGAACTGTCGACCCAAAACCTCAGCTAAGGGGGGAGGTAAGGAGGGAGAGAAGGGGAGGGACGTAAGGAGGGAGAGAGAAGGGGGAGGGAGGTAAGGAGAGAGAAGAAGGGGGGAGGTAAGGAGGGAAAGAAGGGGGGAGGGAGTTAGGAGGGAGAGAGAAGGGGAGGGGGAGGAGGGAGAGAGAGAGAGAAGGGGGAGGAGGGAGAAGGGGAGGAGGAGGAGGGAGAGAGAAGGGGGAGGTAAGGAGGGAGAGAAAGGGAGGGGAGGGAGATAGGGAGTATTTGTGTTTTGGTTATGGAAGAAAAGAAGAAGAAGAAGAAAAGAAAGAAGAAGAAGAAGAAAGAAGAGGAAGGAGAAGAGGGGAGGAGAAAGAACAACTCGCCTCCCTCCCTGACTATATTATTATTATTATTATTATCATTGCCACACACAAGATGGCGCTGATTAAATACATTACTACATGTGTATTTATAAACCTGTATCTCAGTGGCGGTACAGAACACCAGGTACAGCAGGAGGTGGTACAGGTTACAGCGCCGATACAAAAGTTCAAGCGTGTCATCAGAAGGTCATGGAGGTGTCTAATGTTGCCATGGTTACAGAGATGACTGTAATGTTGCCATGTTCAGAGAGGTGACTGTAATGTTGCCATGGTTACAGAGAGGTGACTGTAATGTTGCCATGGTTACGGTGTTGTGGTGGTTACAGAAGGTCATGTATTAGTCGACTGTATCTTACGTTATAGGTGTCTGTGTATAAGATGGTGGTAGGGAGGGTGGTGGTAGTGGTAGGGATGGTAGTGGTAGGGATGGTGGTGGTAGGGAGGGTGGTGGTAGTGGTAGGGATGGTGGTGGTAGGGATGGTGGTGGTAGTGGTAGGGGTGGTAGTGATGGTGGTGGTAGTGATGGTGGTGGTAGGGATGGTGGTGGTAGTGGTAGGGATGGTGGTGGTGGTGGTGGTAGGGATAGGTGGTGGTAGTGGTAGGGGTGGTAGTGATGGTGGTGGTAGTGATGGTGTGTGGTAGGGATGGTGGTGGTAGTGGTAGGGATGGTGGTGGTGGTGGT